TCCTTCCTTCCTTGTTCTCGGGAGGAACTGCCAAATGTTGGTCCACTTAATGCCTTTTCTAGTTAATGTGGCACAGGAAATATATGATTCTGCACCAAAGTTGTAACAATCCTCTGAAGCAAAGTGTTTCTTCTTCCCCTTCCAGTTGAAACCTACAACCGGTGCTTCTTATGCCCTTTCCAAGTAAATCCTGCTTTGGAGAAATGCTTCTTGTTTCGGCCTTTCTAAGTTAATCCTTTGCACAAAATATGTTCAGTATTTCTTCGAAGAGAGACTAGAGTAAGGTTGTTGTCAGTCTACGAAGGAATCGTAGCAATCCTGCACAGCCAGGGGTTTCCTCTGCAGAAAAGATGCCATTCTCTGCAGGAAGAATAGAAAACCTGCAGATCTTCATATTGCTTCCAGAAAAAAAGGTCTGCAGAACTCCTGAAAAAAAAAAAAACGCAGATCTTCATATTGCTTCCAGAAAAAAAAGGCATACAGAACTCCTGAAAAAAAAAACCCAAAATGTTTCACACAAGATTTCCTTGGGGGGTGGGGGGCAGAATGACATAGAGGTTTTTCCTCTCGGAAGGCTGTAAGATGGGCATCTCTAACTTAATTACCGTGCATCAGGAAAGACAAGGAAAGTTCGTAAGTTTTATAAGTCAAAACAAGAATAATTTCCATTTTTTTTTCTTTCCTGAATGGACCCACTTGCTCAGCTGGGTTGAGTTCTTTCTCAACTAACGATTCAAAAGAAATACATGGTGCCTCGCTAGACGATGATAATCCGTTCCACTGAAATCGTTGTCTAGCGAAATCATTATCTAGCGAAAAAACAAATCGTTGTCTAGTGAAAATCAGTCTGCGAAGCAGGGACCAATCATTGTCCAGCGAAATCCCCCCATAGGAATCACTGTTTTGTGAATCGCTATAGCGATCGCGAAAAGTCAATGTCTAGCGAAAAAACTGTCATGCGGGGTAACTGTCTAGCGAGGCACCATTGTGCACAATTATGATGGATAGTGCCGCTGTATTGCCTCTCCGTTTGCTAAAATGCCAGTAAGATGCTGTGCCGAAACAGCTGAAGCTGCAGACCGTAGTGGAATCATCCTTCTTTTGCATGCTCATGTGATCTGTGAATAGAGCCATTCACTCATCCAGATAGCTTTGACCCGATAATAACTGTAGGGAATTCCTTGCCTGAACTCTGAGGCAATTTGATTGGGCATGGCGGAGCTCAACAGCAAAGCCTCGGAGAAGCAATGAGTGGTTATTGGAAACTGTCTCAACAGACTCACTCATTTCCAAGAGAGTCAAGAGAGAGGGGAAAAGGCACAGAGCAGAGAGGCGGAGCTCTCTTTGGGTTCCAATTCAGGAAGGAACAATTGGTGGGTTCTGGATAGATTGACAGGCATCCCAGCCAGGAAATGTCCAACTTGCTAAACGCAGCATGCAAGGTTGTGAACACTCCCAACAGTCAAGACAGTCTAAATCGACAAGAAGAAAGAATTCCGCATGTATACATGGAAGCCATTGCTCTTTTTTTTGTTGTTGTTCTTTGTGCGTGATTCTACTTCCTTGTGCCTAACGGCTGCGTAAGCCAGTGGTTGGAAGCTCAGACATTGTCAAAGAAGGGTTGTGAAATTTCCCATCCTTCACCAAAAAAAAAGGTCCCTTGACATATATCTAGAGAACCTACTGAAAAAAATGGGGACTCGTTGAGAACTTGTTGACCTCTACAGGAGGGTCAAAAGACTTTTCTTCATCAGCTGCAGTATTCATGAAACTGTGTGTGTGTGTTTTTTTTTAACAAAAGCCGCACATTTTGCATTAAAAATCCCTCTTTGGGTGCAAAATGCAAGCTGTTCTGTGTAACGCCCGGCTTTTTTGCACGAGGAAAACGGTGGGGATATGTTTTTGCACGCGAGTCCAAAATGCACACGTGCGCGCGCGCACACACAAACCCACCCAGAGGCTCTTATAATCTTGCGTGCTGGAGGAAAATGTAGACTTTTTTTCCGCCCTCACCTCTGAGAACAAAATACTGTAATCAAAGATTTATGACCTGTTTGTTGACTAAATAAGGGCTTCCAGCCGGCCTCTAGCCGTGTACTAGTAGAGCTATCGTATTTCATACACACTTAAATTTTACTCTGAGTATTATAGAAATGATGACAACATCACCTTACAACCCCCTGCCCTCCTGTATAGATTTAAAAAACACCAAGAGGCTTCTTGGCATTTGGCTTATTGTGACAAATTTCCCAGTGTTTCTATTTAACATTTCACGTTCAGGACATCTGTCAATTTCGGTTTCTGTCACTTCCCCGTATTAAATCCATCCCATTCTCCTTTAGCATCAGTCTCTGTGTGTGAGTGTTTCAAAACACCCATTGACATCTGTTCATATTTACATAAATAAATGTATGTATTTACATTTAAATAGACACATATATTTATTCTAATATCAGTACTGGGTATGTTTTCTTTTTCCTTCTTTCTGATTTGATTTGTTTACTTTTGTTTTGGCAAGCAATTCCCATTCAGCTCATGCATTTTTGAACATTATTTTCCAGAATAAAAGGATATTTCTGTGCCCTTAAATGCAACGCTCAAATGCATTTTTTTTATTAGACGTTTTCATCCCAGATTTTTATACATCCAGAGACTTAGCAGACATCTGCTGAATGGCTCAATGGTTTTGGTCTCTGGCTGCAGAGCCAGAGGTTGGGAGTTCGACTCCCCCCCCCGGGCCTCCCTGACAGGGGCTGGACTGGATGATCCAGAGGGTCCCTTCCAGCTCTGCCGTTCTAAGATTATTCTATATATGTAGATCTTGGGCAGAATCCTGTTGTAGATTTACACCAGCTTCAGTGCAATGGTGTAAATAGCAATGGCAAATTGTCACTAATTAACTGGCGGCTGCTCACATGCCTAGTCACGTGCTGGTCCTGTGACTTGGTGAAAGACCAGCAATGCAACTCTTAGCCTGATAATAAGTAGCAATTTGTCATCAGCAGAAATCCACACTGGGATTCTGACCCCCATACAATTTACAGGAGCCATCACATTAACTGGTGCCTCGCATTACGACGTTAATTCGTTCCAGTGAAATCGCTGTAGAACGAAAACGTCATAATGCGAAAATAAAAAGCCCATTGAAACTCATTGAAACCCCTTCAGTGCATTCCAATGGGCTGGAAACTCACCGTCCAGTGAAGATCCTCCATAGGGCGGCCGTTTTCAGTGGCTTTCTTGCGAGGAATCTATCCCAGAAAACAGCGGGGAGCCATTTTATTCACCTGGTCGGTGGCTTTCTTGTGAGGAATCCGTCCCAGAAAACAGCAGGGAGCCATTTTATTTACCTGGTGGCCATTTTGAAACCGCCAATCAGCTGGAGGAAAATCGTCGTTTTGCAAATACTCGGTTCCCGAAGCAGGGAACCGATCATCGCAAAGCGACAAACCCCTGTTCAGACCATTGTTTTGCGATCACAATTGCAATCACAAAAAGTTTGTCGTAATGCAGTTTCGTCGTAATGCGGGGCAATCATAAAGCGAGGTACCACTGTATACACATATATACCCCTGTAGACTGTGCTGGATAGCTCAGTGGTTTAGGTCTCTCTTGGAAGTTCGATTCCCACCCTGGAACTCCTTGACAGGGGCTGGACTTGATGATCCAGAAGGTCTCTTCCAATTCTGCAATTCTAAGACAAATGGGATGATATTACCAGTTTTGGAAGTGCGGGTTAGGAGGCTGGTATAAAAATGCAAAATGGATAAACATTTCCCCACCCCATCTTTTTGCACCACAATTGTCTGAAATTCTTGCTGGCCTGGCTGGTTGGAAGAAAAAGTAACCATCCCCAGCTTTGAGTAAGAGAGGTTGATACAACTGGCACCTGACAATTCATGTGGTGTGGGTCTGCATGGACAGGCGTGCACACCTGACCCATGGAGGTCCACCTTGACACCTAGCATGGGGAACTACATGCGAGGTTCCAGTGCATGTTAAAAGTCACATATATCTGCACATAGAATCTCTGCAGTGACAAGCTGTTGATGGAGTCTGAAGCAAGAGGGGGGCCGCTTTGCAGCTGTTGTCGCAGACAAAACCCCAGAGCCTCTGTCTGGGGTGGGAGGGAATTGAGGGTTTGCGGAGGGAGGGGGCTGTTGGTGAATTACGGCTCTATGGATCTCATCTTTTCCTTGCAGCTGCTCCTGCCACAAAGCAGGGAGGGGGGGTTGATCGGGACGGGAACCCCATTCCTTGGTTTTGCTTATTGGAAGCCACAGGACTGTGGAAGCGTCCAGGACGGTGGGGGGGGGGGGGAGTTTGGAGAAACAAAAGGGGTAAAGCACTGGAACGGCTTCTACTATCAAGGGAATGAGATTGGGGTCAAATTACACAGAAGGATTCTCTTCTCCAGACAGGGATCAAAAGAGACCTGGTTTTCCCAAAGAGGAGGAGGGGGCGGGATAGAGGATGGATCAAGGAGTGCCCAAATCTTCTGGGAGGCAGAACAGTGAGAACTGACATTGTGCAAAACCTACAGACCTCGAAACGCAGGACCGCCGACGATGGGGTTGTGGCTGACTCCATAGCACACAATTATCACTGCTCTTTATTCATATTTACAAAGGCACAGTTAGAATCTTTCTAATAATTCACACTGAATCCCCATGTTTCTCTGTCGTGGTGATGGTTCGGTTGGGTCTGCTATTCAGTTTCGGCTCACGGCCGACGTGCAGGCCGAGGGCCTGAATCTCCCTCGTTTTGGTTCATCATCCTTCTGTCAGACTTCCAGCGGATAGCTTCTCAAATGGGGGAACGCCTTCCGAAACAGAAGTAAACTGTGCCAGGTCTATAGATGAAGGACTGACCTCCTTGAAAGAGAACATATATCCACCCTGAGCGACTTTCTTTGACTGAATGTGAGGGCTTCCATGCCCCACTTTTCTCTCTGGTTCCCATGCCTCCAGAAATAATCTTTTTTTCCTCTTCTCTCTCAGGCTGTCCGTCAGGGATGTTCAAAGCCAATCAGGGGGACGAGGGCTGTATCCACTGTCCTATCAACAGCCGGACCACCACGGAAGGAGCCACCAACTGCGTCTGTCGCAACAGCTACTACCGGGCAGACTCTGATCCACTGGACATGCCATGCACTAGTACGTTGGTTACAAAGGGAAAGGGGACAAAGCTAAGAGGAAGGTGCTGACCATTTTCTAAAGGAGGGGCAAATGGGTACATCTGCCCACAGTGTGGGAACCAGGTCAGCTCCTATCATGCACAGTCTGTGTCGGTAGTTTTGAAAAGCACTCTTCACAGAGCCTAATAAGCAGAGAGACTAGTAGTCCCCTAATCCCTTGCAACTCCCATGGAGTTCAGACACTCCTACCCATTTCCTTCAAGCAAATAGTGGTTCCAAGAGGAGGTTCCAAGATGTAAGTACTGAGATTCTTCTGAAGACTTGGATTTTTTGGCTTCAGCTATCAGAATTCTACCTGGTGGGGTTCCTAGCAAATTCTGTGAGCTGTACTCCGATAAATACGAAAGCCTCATGCCCCAGTACTACATATGTCTGAGTCTTTGTGTATAAATACAAAGAAATACATGGTTGATCACTTTTGAAGTCCGCCCATTATGGTGAGGTCCATAAAACCACATGTCTTGGTTGCGCAATCAGCCACACAACCAAGCACGCTACTGAGGAGGCACTATGGCACCTGATCAATTAGCCACAATTAGCCACAACAACTTACACAGACTTTTAGCAAACACTTATAGGACTCCAGCCGTCCTTTATAAAAACACATCACTTTCAAAAGGAGGAAATTAACAGGACATTTTTTCAGAGCACCAATAAGTTCAAAAATTGTGAGAGAAGTACAACATCAATAAAGAATTGAAATACGGTCATCAAGGCTTAGTGCGTGACACTATGTCAACAGTAAGGCCCCCTTCCAAAATCATCAACATTAAATCATGCTGCCAATAATGGTCTTCCTGTACCCCAAGGTTCTCCAGAAGCTTGACATAAATGAAGGTCAAAAGATATAAGATGTTCTCATAAGCCAATTCCCTCTTGTCTCCTCTTGAGGAGACTAACAGCCACAAAGCAAAGGTGCTAGGGAAGGGCTCTACCTCCTCATTATCCAATTTTACCTTGAAGTGCAGATCTCCCACTTGTTGGTAAATGAGAACTGGCCAGTAAAAATGTGTCCTACATCGTGAATTGAACACACTCTCACCCATTGGATCCCAACCTTGAGACCCAAGATGTTCTTGGACTGCAACCGGCAGAAATCCATGCTGGGATTCTGACCCCCATACAATTATAGGAGCCATCACATTATATACATATTTACCCCTGTCAGTAAAAATGTGTCCTACATCGTGAATTGGACACACTCTAACCCATTGGTTCCCAACCTTGAGACCCGAGATGTTCTTGGACTGCAACCAGCAGAAATCCATGCTGGGATTCTGATCCTCCATACAATTATACGAGCCATCACATTACATACATATATACCCCTGTACACGGTGCTGGATAGCTCAGTGGTTTAGGTCTCGGTTGGGAGTTCAATTCCCCCACTGGAAAGGTCTTGGTTGGGAGTTCGATTCCCCCACTGGAACTCTTTGACAGGGGCTGGACTTAATGATCCAGAAAATCCCTTCCAACTCTGCAATTCTAAGACAAATAGGATGATATTACCAGTTTTGGAAGTGCGGGTTAGGAGGCTGGTATTAAAATGCAAAATGGATCAACATTTCCCCACCCCCATCTTTTTGCACCACAATTGCGTGAAATTCTTGCTGGAAGAAAAAGTAACCTTCTTGGACTGCAACTCCCAGAAATCCTGGCCAGCACATCTCGTGGTGAAGCTTCTGGGAGTTTTAGTCCCAAGAACATCTGGGGTTCCAAGGCCGGGAGCCACTGATCTCACCTAATGGGGAACCTCTGCTTTCTTGCCGTTTCACTTTCTCCCCCTCTCCTCCCCACAGCGATCCCATCCGCCCCGCAGTCCGTCATCTCCAGTGTGAACGAGACGTCTCTGATGCTGGAGTGGAGCCCTCCCCGAGACTCTGGCGGCCGCGAGGACCTGGTCTACAACATCATATGCAAGAGCTGTGGGTCGGGCCGGGGGGCGTGTACCCGCTGCGGGGACAACGTGCAGTTTACGCCGCGCCAGCTGGGTCTGACCGAGCCCCGTGTTTACATCAGCGACCTCCTGGCCCACACGCAGTACACCTTCGAGATTCAGGCGGTGAATGGCGTCACGGACCAGAGCCCCTTCTCACCTCAGTTTGCCTCCGTCAACATCACCACCAACCAGGCGGGTAAGGTTAGGTGCTGGAAATACGTACAAACAGGCATTTCTGAGTTTTTTTTAATATAGTATTTTCCACCGGTGGATAAATGAATCAGTGGATACTGACTGCACAGATAGAAGGGTCTTACTGTACTTCCAAGGATTTCGTGGCACTCCCGACTGGTTTTGGCAGTGCCGCAGGGTGACATGCCTCCCAGTTTGGGAACCACTGCCTTGAAAGATTAACTGTTTTATCCAAGCATCCATTTTCATACACGGTGGCCCACATTTCAGCCAGGGATTTCTCTGCGTGATCTGCATTTGAAGAAGGCAACTGTGCAAGTTGATGCAAAATGCAACTCGTTAGTCATGAAGATGCCACAACATTCCTGGATGTTCTTCCTTCTCAAAGTCCATTGGGGAAAAGGGCCCTACGCATGTGTAATGTACCTAAATCGCATGGCCATGCTTAGATGCAACATCTCATTCATTGAAAACATAAGTGGTGGCATGTGCCATAGTGACAGCCTGCTTAGATTACTGTAATGTATTTTATGGGGAGCTGCCCTTGAAGACTGTTTCGGAAAGTCTGATGGTCCAAAACTACTGCATCTAGATTATTGACTAGGGATGGTTACAGGGAGCGTGTAGGTTCCCTGCCATACCAGTTCTGGTTGTTGTTAATCATCTTCTGGTCCCGGTTCACAGTACTGTTTATGATCTATAAAGCCCTATAGGTCTTAGGTCCAGTCTGTATGAAGGATCATATCCCCCTCTAAGAGGTTCCCCAGGTTTAAAGACCTTGCAGGGAAACCCTTCTCTTGCTCCCACCGTCCTCCCAGGCAGATCTGCTGAGGACTCAAGAGAAGGTCTGTTTCCAGCCTGTGGAACTCCCTTCCACTGGAGTCTTGGTTGGCCTCCCTCCTTACTGTTCTTCCATAGGCTTGGCAAGCTGTTTGACACTGGTTGGGCTGCGGAGAGAGTTTTTAACTCTGCTTTTCTTTTCCTCCTGAAAACTATTTTTACTGTAAATGTGTTTCCCTTCCCACTGTTTTTGTTTCTAGATTGTTCTAATTGGGACAATTGTAGAATTTTAATTCATGTCATTACTTTTTCCTGCTGCCATTTTTTTAATCCTGGAACTGGCGGAAATGCTGGATAGCGACGAAGTGAAATAAAGACATAGATAGACAGATATATTTTCAGACACACACAAAACACAGATTAGTGCAGCCTTCATCTAACTGCAAAGAGAGGATTGTCAAAGTAGCATATAACAGATGATTATTACTCTTAAGCAGTGCTTCAGAGTTTCTCAAGCACATCTCCTTGGACACTATGAGTAGTAAGTAGGCACAGGATAAGAGAAAGACTGGGCTGGGGAATTCTCTAGTGCTCAGTCCTTCTACTAGTGGAAAGATTCTGGCCCAGACATTTTTCAGTGGTTGCTGCTGGTGCTGTGAACAAAGGTGGATCCAAATGTCCACATTTATATGTGCATTCATGAATACAACTTTGGAGTGTTTACAAGCTCGCATGCTGCCTTTAGTAGAGGTGGTTTTCTGGACTAGGGCACCTGTCAATCTATCCAGGTCTAACCAATCATTCCTTCCCACCTCTGAATTCAAAGAGGGCCCCGCCTCTCTGCTGAGTGTTCCTTTCCCTCTCTTTAGTCTGTTAGAAGGCTGTTCTTTGTTTTGCTGTCTATCTGTTCACAACCGAAAGCAATGGAATATTCTTACGCTTTCTCCTACTAATGCCTCAGAGTGAGTTTTTGAGATTTTTGCATGCCAGTTTAGGAGAAAGAGGTGGACTCTGGAGACGTTATTCTCTTCCATGAATCTCTGTTCTTTGACTGTATAGCAGAAAGGGAATTTGATATAGATTCTCCCAGAACACCCGTGTCTAAATGTGCATCAGGGCATCTTTTTGATTTCGGAGTCCTGTGATCATAACGCTAAGGACGTGGAGATGCCCATGAATAATTAAGTTCCTGTTTTCATGGTAGTGGTCGAGGAAGTTGGTTACTGAATCAGTAATCAAAACCCAGAAAGACCCCAAATACGTTCCCTCCCCCCCCAGCCATAAACCAGAAAAATGAACAGTGAACCGATTCCTTTTTTCCCCCCCGGGAAGTTCGTGATTAACCACGAACAACGAACCAGCCCCGATCCATCATTTTCTGGTTTGGGCCCTTCTCTACTTTATTGTAAGCTGCCCAGGGACCTTTGGGTAGTGTGGGCAGCATATAAGATAAATAAACAAACATTCGAACTGCTATGCCAAAATAGCTCAGAGTTTTTACAGACCAAATCCTGCAAGCATTATTGGCATCACCTGTATTCCGGCAGGAGTCCGTCGCCTCGCCCCTCACGTCTTACAATTAATCACTCTCGAGTCTCATCTCTTATAGCTCAGCCAGGCAGCAATGACTGTAATCCTCCTCACCTTTGCAGTGAGATGGGGTGATGGTGCGAGGGCGGGCGCTGTCGTATCGGGGGACACAAAAGCCCTCTTCCACTGAGCTTTCATCGTCCACCACCTCCTCCTCCTCTTCCTCCTTCCCCCCCCCCACATCTCATGCTCCTGCCTGGCCCAGCCTTATTATATGCCGAGCTTCAGCTCCCAGACTTGGGAGATGCCCCCCTCTTAATGCGCCTATTCATTAGCGCGAAACAGTAACTGTCGGCTCGCTAATTCTCCCATAATTAGAGGCAGGATTCTTTTGCAGGCTTTCCTCACCACCCCGGCTGTCTTGATGTTCCTCATTAGCAGCTGGAAATGGAAGCTGTGGAGACAAAAAAAGGAAGGAAAAGAAGAAAAGGGGAAGAGGAGGGGGGGAAATCCTGCACGGCACTGAGTGGGGAGGGGGAGAGGATAGCTACAGGGGAGAGTGGGGGCATTTTGCCTTCTATGAGACCCATGGCCGTAAGAGGCAGATCTTTCCCCTATTCCACCCAGGCAACATGATCTATTCCAAGCCCAGAAATGTGGGGTTTTTTTTAATCCATTTTTTAAAAAAATAAACAAGTGGGAAGGGCACGAAAATCCAGTTTCTGTTTTGAATTAGGGGTCTTTGGGGGAGTGTATTGGAGGCTCATCCTCGTCTGTGGCATAGAAGGAGCACAGTTTTTAATCCAAGAAAAGCTGCTGAGGGTCTCCTCAGTGATCTGGGAGCTGCAAAGGCCACCTTTGGTGCCACCTGTGACACCACAGACCATTGTTGATGTTTTCGTGTTGGGTAAAAATGGCCTCTTAATGTGCCCCAAATCCAGTGTCAAGCCCAAAGAGATTGATCCCTGGGATCGCACAGCTTGCCCAAGGCTACACAGGCTGGCTCTTCTCTCAGGAGGCATAATAAGGGACCAAACTCCCAGTGTCTGGCTTCAAAGCCAGATATCTAAACCACTGAGCTATCCAGCTAGCTAGGTAGAGAATACACAGAAGTGCCTTACCCTTCCCTTCCTCTAGGGGTGCTCTGGGACTGTGCAGCTGGCCCAAGGCTACCCAGGCTGGCTTTTTCCCCGACAGACACTGTAAGGAATCAAACTCCTGACCTCTGGCTCCACAGCCAGAAGCCTAAACCACCGAGTTGTCAGAGCGGTGAAAAGTTGTCCAACGGGGAGATATTTCCTTAAATATTTTCCCAGAAAAGGCACGTTCTTCAGCTGTTCAAAGGGAGAAATAGAGAGGAGAGAGACACGGTGATAAGAACGAGGAAAGAAAATAGGCAACTCCCATTGAAGAAATTTGGATTGGTTTGTACCAAATGAAATTATAACCCAATTCGGCCTTTAAGGAGCTGCGTGGCATCTAAAAGTCCCCGCTTTTCCCACGTCCATTTTGATACCGAACATGAAAGTGCAACAGACAAAGGCGACTGAACTGGGGTACCTTCTCCTTGTGGCCCAGCTTTGGGGTTCCCGTTGATATGAAAATCCAACTCAAGCAGAAACGTTCAAACTCATTTTTAAATTATCAGTGTTGTTTTTAAGGGACGCGGTGGCGCTGTGACCTAAACCGCAGAAGCCTCTGTGCTGCAAGGTCAGAAGACCAGCAGTCGTAAGATCGACTCCACGCGACGGAGTGAGCGCTCGTCGCTTGTCCCAGCTCCCGCCAACCTAGCAGTTCGAAAGCATGCAAATGCGAGTAGATAAATAGGGACCCCCTCGGTGGGAAGGTAACAGCGTTCTGTGTCTAAGTCACACTGGCCATGCGACCACGGAAGATTGTCTTTGGACAAAATGCTGAGTCTATGGCTTGGAAACGGGGATAAGCACCGCCCCCTAGAATTGAACACGACTGCACAAAAATTGTCAAGGGGAACCTCTTTAGTTTTACCTATTGTTTTAAAATCAGACACTTTTTTTGAGAGTTGTTCACATCTTTAACAACAAACAGCTTGGCATCCCCTTCCAGGGCATCGGGTTCTGTTGGGCAAAAGTTTTCATTGACTGCAGCCCGGCATCTTCAGATGTGACAGCTTTAAAAATCTGATTTGTGATCTGCACAAGCAATTCTCAAATTGATCATGCCCCCAATCCGCGTCATGAATAACGCTGCATTCTTCTAATGAGGTCAGAGCAGAAGTGGAAGACGGAGGACAAAAAAGCATTGGAACTGCCCCTTTCCGATGTGGCCACATGAAGGCCAATTGAATGCATAAGTTTGCAAGAGTTCATTGAATGTAATGAATATAAATCCAAAGGACTGCAAATGTCCTGATTTCTATCATATGTATTTATGGACTGGGCAAGACCACATGCTGTGGGGTTGTGGAATGAGCAGAGGTATAAATACCAGTATATATTCTAGTGCCTGAAATGACAGACAGATGGACGGATGGAAACAATTTAAAATCAAACAATTAAAAAGACCGAAATGAAACATTCAGACATTAAAAACATTAGCACTGCTGCACTAAAACCATTGCATTAATGACATGAAGTATGAGCGCCTTAAACCCATGATGCTCAACCACCAAAGGCTCTAGTAAATGTGTCTTGCCTTGGTACCAAAATGATGCCACTGTCGGCATCAATCAGTGATCCAGTTGCACTTATTGGGATGTTTAGGCAAAAGCATAATGTGGAGGCAGTGCCGGAAGGGGAAGATGTTCAATGCTTAGGAGCCTTCCGGTGTGGTGGTTCAACAGCAGTACTGCGGTGAAGACTCTGCTCATGATTTGAGTTTGATCCCAATGAATTCAGGGAGTTGGCTCAAGGCTGACTCAACCTTCCGTCCTTCTGGGGGTCAATAAATCAAACCACAAGGTCCTTGGTGGGGAGGGGGGCGGAATGTAATGTGTAGCCGACATCATTGGAAACCGTCCAGAGTTTCATAAACACTGTTTGTCAGTCGTTTCCAACTTCACGGGCACAGAACGATAATGAGCAGACCGCCTACTCTCTTCTGCACAAATTTGGTGATGGGATAGTGTCGTTTTTTTCTGTGTATTCTTCCAAACTCAGGCGTTGCGTTCCGGTACACCTTTTTAATCTGGCACTCTGACATGTGAGATTTTTTAGCCCACACTTCCCAAATGGTGTGTGTGTGTGTGTGTGTGTGTGTGTGTGTGTGTGTGTGAGAGAGAGAGAGAGAGAGAGAGAGAGAGAAACAGAGACAGAGAGAGAAGAGAGAAGAGAGAGGAGAGAGAGTATTTGTGTGTGTGTGTGTGTGAGAGAGAGAGAGAGAAATTGGGGAAAGTAGTTCATAGTTAACAAAGCTTAAGCCTCCGTATCCATCTGCTTCTCCCAGCCTGCTGGGTCTTCCCTTCTTCCCCCTCGGCTTCCCCCTAACCCTGACCTCAATGCACAGCCGTGTCTGCTAGATGGTAATTGAAAAATACCAGAATTTTCCCTTCGCTCCCTGGTGGCCTACGGTAACCCGATGCCCAGGGAAGGAGTGAAGGTTTGAAAGGGAGAATCCGGAAGACCTCCGGCAGCATCATCATCCGCCCTCTGTGCTCCGTCTCATTCCCCCGGCCCTCTTGGGGGATCAGGCTTTGGTGGGCTCCGCCGGGTCCTCCCGAGACCCAAGACGAGTTATGGGGGATTAAGATGATCAGAGACGGAGTCGGCTGCTCGTAACCCAAGCCTGGGGACTGAGGCCTCGTCGGGCGAGGAGCCCCTTTGATTCGTCCAGGACGACGACGGGCTGGGCTGGGCTCTTCCTGGGGGGGTTCAGCTTGCTCGGCAAGCCTGGCAGCTGATGGAGGGAGACAGAGAAGGGGAGTGCGTGTGTGGGGGTGTGTGTGGGTGAGGCGGACAGTGGAATGGATTGGCGCTGGCCGGGTTTCAAGCATGAAAGGGGAAACCGGAGAAGGGCCACAGTTTCACGGCTAGCATGTGGTCTGGGACTGTCATAGACAGCATGTCAGGAGACGCCGCCCCTCCCCCACCCACCCACAATGAGACAAGCAGCCTGGGGGGTGATGGTTGGACTCTTCCACGGCTCATGCTCGCAGCCGAGCATTAAAGAAGGGAAGCGCTGGGGCATCGGGGAGGTCTCTCACTCCTCCATTTTTATAGGTTCCCAGACAGATCAGGGATACCTCACAGACAGCGGGCTGGGTAACTCAGCGGTGAAGGTATCAGAGGTTGGGAGTTTGATTCCCCCACTCCTGGGAGAAGAGCCAGCCTGGGTGGCCTTGGGCCAGCTGCACAGTCCCACAGCACCCCCTGGAGGAAGGGAAGGGTAAACCACTTCTGAGAGGACTCTGTACCTGAAAAATCCTGCAAAGGGTCTCCTTAAGTCAGAACTGACTTAACTGCACATGAGGAGGAGGAGGAGGAGGAGAAGGAGGACATATCAGGAGATCTGTCTAATTTAGATCCTGCTTTCTCCTCCCCTTTTGAGAGGCTGACAGTTTCACCCGGATGTGTGATAAAGAAGGAGCCGCTTAATGATTCAGAATGAATAAGGAGGTCCTTTGGCTGGAAATCAATCAATGGGTGTCAACGTTCCATCCTGGACAAGCTGTTTGTTTCTGTCTTTGTTTCTTTGTCTGTCTGTTTCTTCTTCCAAAGTTCAAACCAGTTTCGGGAGCGCTTCACCCCCCCCCCAAAGAGAAAGCCTGAGCGGAAGCAGAAAACCAAGCTGGTTTAAATCCCGGTTCTAACACCAAGACCTTTGAAACATAATCAAGAAAAGGTTCTGTGTTTTTCTTTCCCTCTGCCTGTCTTCAGATCCTGTGCTGTCCGAAGCTTGTACAGGCTTTGTGCTGTTTTGGTGGGCTTAATAAACTGTTTGACGGCCAATACATAAAGCTGCTTTTCTCACAAACAAGGGGGCAAGTGATCAGAATAGGCACAGACGCTGAAATATCAGGGCAAACGGCCTTTAAAATATCACAGCCCAGTAACCCTCTGCTCCTTTATCCGATCCTGTCACCCCAGGAGAACACAAAGCCGCTGCAAAATTTCGCTGGCACGGATTTCTGCTGCCTTGACAGTTCCCTGCTGTGGCGTGTCAGTTTAATCATAATGAATGGCCATGAGCATCGCACAGCCTTTCGACAATTAGCGCTCTTTTCCCAGACATCGTAAACCTCGGTGACCTGGATCACACCGCGGAGCGCACACGGTTTTTCGGCCCTCTGCTAGGGAGGGGCTGGGCGGGGAGGGATGTGATGAGGACAGAAGGGCAGTGGGATCAAGAGTCCAGCCCGGTCAGGATGCGTCCGGAGGCAGGGGTGTGCATGTGTGTGTGTGGAGGGGGGGAGTGGAAGACCATCTGGCTTGGGTGGGGTGAGGGAGGTGGCTTTGTAGCCATCATGACCCTGACGATGAGATTCCGCTTGGCGGTTCGGCCAGTGTGAAGGACGCCAACGTTTGGAGAGGGGGCTTTTGAGACGACACCGCCCCAAATCCCCTGGCTTGAATAATAATTTTAAAAAGTCACACACACACATTTGTTGCCAGGTGTCATCAAATCACTTCTGACTTATGGCAACTCTATGAATGAGCAATCTCGAAAAATGTCCTGAACAGCTGGGCTCAGCTCTTGTAAATCTAAACCTGTGACTTCCCTTAGGGAGCCAGTCCATCTCCTATTTGATCTTCCTCTTTTCCTGCTGCTTTCCACCCTTTCCCAAGAGAGTAAAGAGGAGCTAAAATGATGTGGAGCAGTGGTTGCCAACCTTGAGCCTCCGGATCTTTTTTGGACCACAGCTCCCAGAATTCCTGGCCAGCACAGCTCGTGGTGAAGGCTTCTGGGAGTTGGAGTCCAAGAACATCTAGGGACCCAACGTTGGGAGCCACTGCTTGACCTAATGGGCAATCTCTGCTTTCCTGCCATTTTCAGAAGTATCTCAAGCACTTTTCCTGCACAATGTTCTACCTGTTCACAGGATCATTGACTTATTCATTGGCCTCTTTTCCTTATAGCTCCTTCGGCCGTTTCCATCATGCACCAGGTGAGCCGGACAGTGGACAGCATCACTCTCTCGTGGTCGCAGCCTGACCAACCCAACGGAGTCATCCTGGACTATGAGCTGCAGTACTATGAGAAGGTACAAAAGGGAAGGGGTGGAATTGGGGGAGTCTCCTCTTCCCCAGGAGACATCCTGGATTAGAACCAGAGGACAGAGCACTTAATGGAGAATTAAGGAGGGGCAGGATCTGTTTTTGATCATCCCAGAGTGCAGGACACATAATAACGGGCTCAAGCTACAGAAAGCCAGATAATGACCCAAGCTACCTGAAGCCAGACTTAAGCCCAAGATCAGGGGGAAAAAAACTTCTTAACTGTTAGAGCAGTACGACAATGGAACCAATGACCTCAAAAGGTGGTGAGTGCTCCAACGCTGGAGGCATTCAAAGGAAAATTGGACAACTATCTGTCAGATCTGTTTTTATTTTGATTCCTGCTTTGAGCAGGGAGTTGGACCTGATGGCCTTAGAGGCCCCTTCCAGCTCAATTATTCTGTGATTCTATTAATTTTCCAAGCTCTTTTGGAAAATGATGTATCTAGATACAGATCTTTTAATGGTGTGGCTGTCTCCGATGTACATGGAAGAAACTGTGAAATGCCAAGTCCCTCAGTAACCTTATCTCCAAAGAGAAGCCATAAAGTATGAACATCAGGTCCAGTTACATCAATATCAAGAAAAACTTCCTAATTGTAGGAACAGTATGACAGTGGAACCAGTTACCTTGGGAAGTGGTGAGCTCTCCAACATTGGAGACATTCAAGAGAAAGCTCAACAGCCATGTGTCAGATATACTTTGACTTTGATTCCTGCCTTGAGAACTAACTCCATTAGTCTATGATGCTATGATCATGTGTTCAAGATCCTTCAACTATGAATTCCTGGACCAAATCACCCTTGATGGGCCCTTCCAAACTCTATAGTTTTGTGATTCCAAATGAGCAAGGAATTCTGACTTTTGAAGCAGCAACGTTACTCTAACCTCACCACCACTCTGAAATTAGGAATGAAGTTTGGGAGAAGCTTAAATGGATTTATGTACAAAACATGTGAGTTCTATTCAGCCCCACCACACTCCTCTCGGTTCAGACTTTGTAAAAATCCAGGCATGTCTCCAGTCAAGGGATAGTGACATGGGAAACGAACCCTAAAGCAAATTCTGCAACCCTAAAGTCTAGCCACCCTTGTGGATTTTATTCAGGCCACCTTTCTAAATGAACCAAACTGATTCACAGTCGAGAGATTAACGGATTAGGACATGGTTATCTGTTGGATTTCACTCATCTCCGAATCCTGTTACAGTTCAGGGCTTAGAAAAAGTACCTTCATTCATATTTAAGGGAAAATGCATGCTAAATGCCTATTTTATGTAAAATGCATATAGAAATGCATACTGTGTGACATATATATATATTTAAAATATGACATGGATTTTCATGGTGCTTAAATAAAAAAATACAATTGTGTGTGTGGACAGATTGATGCATAAATACAACATCCAACGCTGACGTAGACAAAAAAAAAATTGTAATCCAGGCACAGTAAAGTATTACTTTTGGTAGGAGGTGGGAAGAAGATGTTACATGTCTTGATCTCCCAAGCTGAACCTTTGTTTCCATTCCAAGGATTGTAGAATTAGAGAGTGTGTACTCGGGGCAAATGTATTTGTGTGCGGAAATCTTTGGCAGGCAAAAATGCTGAGGCTGGGAATTGGAGAGGCAGTGCGCGTTCGCCAGATGCGAGAAAGGAGTGTACAATCTGGAAGGACAAGAGGGGGATTACTTGGTAGGGGAGCTAATTAGAAATATGGATGAAATGAAACAACACCCGTACACTTTTCCCAAACTCCGTGGACAGGTCTCCTCCCTTCGTCCCTCCAAATGACCTATTTTTGGTTCCCTACAGGCCCGGGGAAGCTGGGGGTGGGGCCCACCATTTGAGCCGATAAATAGGCCCTGACCTATATTGCCTCCCCTGGAGCCCTGGCCGTACCCGGCTCTGCCCTTTCTCCCAGGCAGATCAGAAGGGGAGGGGGCGATTTGCTTGTTCCTTTGGACATGTCCAGTGTGGGTGAATGAACACACGTCATGGTTGTTGGTGATGGTGGAGAATCAAGAGTCTTCTGCTACGGCCACCTTGTTTTGTTGATTGGTTGTCTGTTTGCCTGACAGGAGCTTAGTGAGTTCAACGCCACTGCGGTTAAGAGCCCAACAAACACTGTGACGGTACAGAACCTCAAAGCTGGCACCATTTACGTCTTCCAGGTGCGGGCACGCACGGTGGCAGGTTACGGGCGCTTCAGTGGCAAAATGTACTTCCAGACCATGACTGAAGGTAAGAGCCAAGAGCATGCCTTCTTAGGCCAGGCTGTCGTCTGGCTCATATTCATCACTGCTTGCTCACGTGGCCAAGGTGAAAATCTGTGCCCTGGTAACACAAGAGTAAAACAAGGGGGCTGCACGTGGGTTCCCAGCCTGTCTTTTGTGGGCCTTGGGCAGTCCATTTGGAAAGAAAACTCCTGAAAGATGCAGCTCACCGCTCCTGGCAGTCTCAAGTGTCGGCAATTCTTGCTTTATTGCTCTTGGCAGAGTGTGAAATTTTGGCTAAAATCCTCTACCTACACAGCCAAAAATGTTCAGGGACCTATAGAGCAGAATTAGCTTCAAGTCTTCCCTCAGTGGACCCCGCCCCTTAGTGTTTTTTTCTCATCCACTGACACTCACTCTGGGACATTTGGTAAGAGAAAGAGTAAAAAGTTCTGCTTACTCTCAGAACTTGAGAAGATGTATATTTTGTCTTTTTCTCCACAAAGCAGAACTGAACTCTATCCCACTTTTAAAAAATTCATGGTGTGGGGCATGTATTGGGAGGCATGTTCAGAGAGACAGACTTTCCTCCCAGATCTTCAGAGCTTGTCTACCCTGGTGCAACTGCCCAGATTTCTTTTGATTCTCTCGCAGCTGAATATCAAACCAGCATCCAGGAGAAGCTCCCCCTCATCATTGGCTCCTCAGCAGCTGGCCTTGTCTTTCTCATTGCACTGGTGGTCATCATCCTTGTCTGTAACAGGTAAGGAGGCTATGGTGTGGTCACTGCAGGATGGGGGAGAGAGTGAAGATGGAACATTTGGGGGGGGGAGAGACTGGGTTTGGGCCAAGGAAAGGCAGCAAAAGATGTGTGGAGACAGCTGGGTCATATCTCTCAGCCCTTGATTATGATGATTTTAGGATTTTAAAGGTGCTTAAACACTCTTGACAAAGGATGTGAATCTCCCTGCTTCTTATTCCCTTTGAGGGGCAGGAGTGGGGAATCAGTTTGTCTACTCTCCCTAATTTTTCCCACATCCAAGTCATGCAGGAAAGCTCTCACTGACCTTCAGGAAATCTTAGGAATATTTCTGAAAGTTTTCAGAAACCGAAAGCACCTATCCTGCTCAGGATATAGCCATCCCTGCACAGGACATGGCTGTTCCTGTGTAGGATACGAGAATTCCTGTGCAGGATTTCCGTGATGTAAGATGGGGGGGAAGTGAACAACTTTGAGGAGAGGTTTTACCTTTTTAGTATGGTAATGGCCAATGTGGGGTGGCATGTACACCCCGTGACGAAACTCCATTTTGGAATACAACTCCCCAAATTCCCCATGTAGGTTAGGGGATTCTGGGAGTTTTCTCTCAAAATAGGAATCTTCCAGGGTGCATACTATTTAAAACTTAAGTACCTCACGTTCAACGGGCTTGTCCATTGTGTATATTATATGGGTGAGTCTTATGGTCCAGAGGCTGATTTTCAGGCCTTCTATCCAACTAGACATGACACAAAGTACACTTCTTTCATAAAACGTCTTTGAATGGAAGTGGGGTTAGGAAGATTGCCTGAGACCATGCTTTAAATTTATCCTGGAGGCAGCCATCTTTGATCTTTGGTCAAGGGATTTTTTTTAAGGCATTTGTGTGGCTTGCCAGCAACCATAGTTCACATCCATATTGTATAGACAGCTGTTGCAAGTCAAGACAGAACTGATGGATAGCTCAGTGCTTTGGACCTCTGACTGTGGAGCTAGAGGTTGGGAGTTCGATTCTCCATGGGGCCTCCTTGACAGGGGCTGGACCTGATGATCCATAGGGTCCCTTCCAGCTCTCATGTTCTAAGATGATGATGAATATTATTATTAATGAACCTAGTTTGCTGCTGCTGCTCCCGTTTCTCACCTCCTCAGCTGATCAGCCACTCTTGTTTGATTTTTCCCACCTCCTCGGCTAATCTCCCAGTCAGGAGCAAGAGCCCAGGCTTCTCTGCCCCGCCCTTTTCTCTGATTGGGAGATCAGCCAAGAGGGCGGGGCAGAGAAACTTAAGCTCTTGCCGGGCACTGGAAGATCAGCTGAAGATCACGGAGGCTGGGCCTGCAGAGTGGCTGATCGAACCGGAGGAGGAAGAAACACCTTTACAGACTGGGATGAACCGGTGCAAACCCATCGAACGGGAAAGCACAGCCTTTGCGTTGGGGTGTCATGGGGACGGGAGGACTTGGTGGGGAAAGTGGAGAGTAGCTGCAGACGGGGAGGAGGGCTGTGTCTCTGGGCTAATTGCTGAAGCCCAGCCTTGCCCCCCTGCTTTGCTAGTCCATCTGCCTCCCGCTCAGCACGATGCTCTCCTTCCAGAAGACGAGGATTTGAGCGTGCAGACTCCGAGTACACCGACAAGCTGCAGCATTACACCAGCGGCCACAGTATGTACCCTCCAGAGTGTGCAGAGCCCCGGGGGGTGAGATCCGGTGTGATGCGGTGTGGTGCGTTGGGCAGTTTGTTCTTTGGTTTACTTCAGTGCCTGGAGGGGAGGGCTTTACTCTATATCACTGGTTACTCTACAACCTCGCATGCCCAGGTTCACTGGTTACTCTACAACCTTGCATGCCCGGGTGTTCTTGGACCGCAACTCCCAGAAGCCTTCACCAATAGCTACAATGACCAAGATTTTGGGGAGTTGCGGTCCAAGAACACTTGGGGACCCAAGGTTGGGAACCACTGGTCTATATTATTTTAACTCCTTTGTCTCTCTTGGTCATAAATTGGGAGAGTTCTCTCTCTCTCTCATTTTGGACTACAACTCCCAGAATGCCCAGCCAGGAAGAATGGGCCGGTTGTTCATGGCGGTCCACTCCAGTCATTGGACTTTCCCAGGCTATGTTTTGGGCAAACTGGGCTCTACCCAGGATGAGTCAGTAGAAACTAAACCCAAGTAGAAACAGCATCAGCAAGAAAACACTTCCCTAACACCCTGGCCACAAATTAACGAATGCTGAAATTAACCAAGCATTGGGGTAACCATAAGTGGGTGTGGGGTGATAATTTATGTCTGAAAACATTACGCGCTGCCCTCAGCTCCCACAACAAACCCAAGTTCTCAGATCCTTTCGGGTTTCCGAGCTGTAGATAAGCTCTCAAGGGGCGCCTTTCTGTGGTGCACTTATCCAAAGAGAAATGGGCGGAAACCAAAATAACACCTTTTTTAAAAACCTTAAAACCAGAGTCTCCCAAACTTTTTCCACTCGTGGGCCCTTTGACCCTGCTGGCCACCGGCCACAGCTCTCCCCATAGGATACCTTGGGTGACGAGGGAGAAGGGAGGGGAAAGCCTGGCCCACACCATCTCCGTCCGCCATTTTTCTTTGTTCACGGCACAGGACTAGGGGCAGTGATTGCTGCCAGGCGCGGGAGGTGGCGTCGGCAGCCATGAAGAGCTTTAGATGGGATGAGACGGCAGCAGGAGGCGAACAGAGAGAAGAGGCTGCGTCTTAAAATTGAAAACAATAATGGTTGGCGGGTGGGGCGTTCCGGGACACCCCTGGCTGATTTTGGTGGCCCCTCAAAGTTCCATGGCACATGTTTTGGGGAACCACTGCCATTAAACTCTTATTGCTAATATTTGATCCTTCGGAAAAAGCCTTTGGCGGTGTGCGAGAAGAACCCTAGAAAAGCTTTAGGTCTTATCCCTATATACTGTGGAGTTGAGCAGGTTGAACGTGATCCTAAGCCTTCTCACCCAGTTTTATTGAGGGAGGAGTGGGGCAGGACCCCCCACCCAAGGGTTGATCTCCTTAGCGTTAGGGGAAGGGTTCGAATGTGACGAGTGAGGGCAATGGACAACACAAGTCTACCTTTTTGCTACCCCTGAGCAGTGACACCTGGCATGAAAATATACATTGACCCTTTCACCTATGAAGACCCGAACGAGGCCGTCCGTGAGTTTGCGAAGGAGATTGACATCTCGTGTGTCAAAATTGAGCAAGTGATCGGTGCAGGTAAGAACCACCGAGAAGTGGGCGGGGAGGGAATGGAACACAAAGTCTAGCTTCTCACCAGCTCTGGCTTCTCCTTTCTGGACTTTTAAGTCCAACAACGTCTTTAAGTGACTCCAAAACAGAAGCAAAACTGGGGGCAGGTGAATCTCAGGGGAACTGGATAGCATCCTCCATCTCTCTCTGCCTGTCTTGTTTCTTTTTCCTGTGATGAAGAGCACACCTGTCACGTTTTTGTGACATTGTTCACTTTGACGCTCCTCAGAAGCTGCCACGTTGCTGTTCCTTTTCCCAAAAAGCACAGGACCTAGCATTTACTCTGTGCAATTTTGGGAAAGAACGGCTGCAGTTGCACAAAACGGCACCCAACAGTGAGAACCACAATTTTTCCCCCCAGACTCTTTCTCTAAAATGATGCTACATCCAGGGCATCTTAGTGAGAGATGGCTAGAATCATAGCATCATTGAGTTGGGAGGGACCTATAAAGACATCAACCTCCTGCTCTGTGCAGGAGTCAAAGCAGATCTGACTGAGGGTGGTCCAATTTTCTCTTGAATGCCTCCAGCACTGGAGCGCTCACCACCTCCCGAGCTCATGGGTTCCATTGTCATACTGCTCTAACAGTTGAGAAATTTTTCCCCGAACTTCAGCCTAAATCTGTCTTCCTGTAGCTTGAGCCCATTATGACGTGTCCTGCACTCTGGGATGACTGAGAACAGATCCTGCCCTTCCTCTGCAGGACAATCAAGTAGAGAAGGACCACTCGTGGTCCTTCTCTACTCAGAGAAGGAATCAGATTCCTTAACCCTTTCAAAAAGCACCCCAATGACCCCCACCTTTTGCCTCCTGCAAGTGGAGGATCTCTGATCTCTGTTTTCAGCACCCGCTCTTCCATTCCAGGGGAGTTTGGCGAGGTGTGCAGTGGCCACCTGAAGCTGCCGGGCAAGAGGGAGAGCTTTGTGGCCATCAAGACCCTGAAGTCAGGTTACACGGAGAAGCAGCGGCGGGATTTCCTGAGCGAAGCGAGCATCATGGGCCAGTTCGACCACCCCAACGTCATCCACCTCGAGGGAGTCGTCACAAAGAGCACTCCTGTCATGATTGTTACTGAATTTATGGAGAACGGCTCGTTAGACTCCTTCCTTCGGGTACGCTCCTAAAGGAAGGGGGCCGGGGAGATGGGAATTCTTTCTCCATGGGGACGCCTGGTAGTGAAGGTTCCCTGTGACTTGTCCATACTGCCCAACAAAGATACACTTGAAATGTAGTGTAATGAGTAGGAACAAATTTACTTTATTGGTATATTGCAATGATTCCCAACCATTGGTTCCCAAGTGTCCTTAAACTGGGACTCCCAGAAGTCCTTGCCAGCAGTTTTAGTCCAAGAACATCTGGGGACCCCAGGTTGGGAACCACTGGAATACCGAGCAAGCACTTCATTGTGACTTCCAAAAGTTGTTTTCTGAAGGGTTTTCTAAGCCCTCTGTCCAGTTATTTCGATAGGAATTTTCCATGTTTTGTGGCATTCTATAATCAGCCCTTTTTGTCTACTGGAGATAGAAGTTGTCAAGGACCAAGAGCAAGCATCGTGAGGGGAGTGACCTCAACAGAAGGGAACTATGGGTATGCAAGGGTGGGTGTGTATTTGGGGAGGCTTACATCTCCCTTCTGCTATCTAGTGAGGATCATGTGGAAGTGGCTTGCCTTTGCATCTCCTCAATTTTCGTTACTGCAAAATGGGCTTTTTGTCAGATCCTATGTTTTGGGTGGACAGACATCAGGGTTACTACTGGCAAGTGTTTCTTACACATCCCTGTTTGCAATTAGGATCTCGAATGGCTTCTGTGCCTTTTTGCATCACCAGTTTGCCTTCTACAACATGTTTGTTTTGTTATTGGCCCTAACCCACACGGCAGCCATTTTGGGAAGAAGCACCTTCGGTGGGGTCCATAACCCATATAAAAATGCCTAAGGCGATGGAGCCACCTGACCTCGGAGTGGCTTGTGTGAAGTGCTCATTTTATCTTGGAAACCACAGAGTTGTCTCTTCTGACCAGCCATGAACCTTGCCCTTCTCTCTTGTCCTTCATTTTCTCCCCTCAGCAAAACGATGGGCAATTCACCGTGATCCAACTGGTGGGCATGCTGAGGGGCATCGCCGCTGGCATGAAATACCTGGCTGATATGAACTACGTCCACCGTGACCTGGCGGCGCGGAACATCCTGGTCAACAGTAACCTAGTCTGCAAGGTCTCGGACTTTGGCCTGTCCCGCTTCCTGGAGGATGACACCTCAGATCCAACTTACACCAGTGCTCTGGTAAGATGCAGAAAGAGAAGATGGACCTAGACAATGGGCCGAATCAGGTGCCACTGAGTCATATCCAACTTATGGTGAGCCTAGTAGGGATCCCAAAATATGTGAGACATTTAAGGAATGCCGCTTCCTGGAGGATGACACCTCAGATCCGACGTACACCAGTGCTCTGGTAAGATGCAGGAAGGGAAGCTGTTGGGTGGTCCTAGACAATGGGCTGAATCAGGTGCCACTGAGTCATATCCGACTTATGATGAGCCTAGTAGGGATCCCAAAACATGTGAGACATTTAAGGAATCGTTCAGCTGGTTGGAGAGCACAGTGAGGTAGGTACGTAGCTGCCGAGCCAGAGGTTGGGAGTTTGATTCCCCGCTGGGCCTCCTGAAAGTAGAGCCAGCCTGGGTGGCCTTGGGCCAGCTTTCTTGGCAAACCTTAATCCCCTCCACACCACCAGAACTTCCCCTGGCCCTGGAAAGGAAAGCTTTGAAAATGGACTACTTGGGACTACAAGTCCCAGGTTCCTCCCACCGAGAGGGACAACTGGGTGTAGTAGTCCAAGAACTATTGACCTAAAGCCAAGGCTATTAGAGTAGACCCAATGCTGATTGGTAAGTCAACACTTACCTTGATTGCAGTCGATTCTGTGGCTCTTCTCTAGATGGGACCAGCAGGGGGTGCAGGCCGTTGTTCCCAGATTTGTGAGAAACAATGACCGAAGAGGGCGCCTCATTTCCTGCAATCTGAAACGAGGCCTTCAGAAAGACTTCATCCATCGTTTCTCCCCGTGCTATCCCTCTGCCATACTTCTGTGTCACATTTCTGCCAGAGCCCCGAAAGGTCTAGCAGAAACATCTGGTGAGCCACTTTTGGGGATGCTGGAGTTGTGTTTACTTCCAGCCCTTTTTGTGTTTCAAATCAGATTTTTCTAAGGGCACAAGGACCCTGTGTGAATCCAGCAACCCGCATCTTCTCACCAACCACGGGTAGTCCACAGCTTTTGTTTCACAGTGCAGAGAAGTGAGGAGTCACAACCAGGCACATTTTCCCAGCCAAGAACACACCCAGAGGGAACATTTGTCTTGTCTTGTTCACTTTCCTTTAATTTTCCTTGATATCGAACTGTTTACTGAGACTCTTCTCTAAACTGTTGCCTACCACACCAGTGCTCGCAGAGTTTCACCTTCATTTCAACAGAACAAATGAGCCTTTAACAATTGCATAACCGGCAGAACTGTGAAGGATTTTCCTCCCTCTGGCATTCTTGGAAAAAGCGCAAGCTTCTTCGCTCCTAATGCTTGCACACTGTCTTCTGGAAAACATCAGGTGCCCTTTAACAGTTATAGGGAGACAGCCCCTCTGGTTCTAGAATGTGTGAAGAAAAACAGAGGGAGAAAATATGATGATGATGATGATGATGATGATGATGATGATGATGATGATGATGATGATGAAGATGATGATGATGATGATGATGGTGGTGGTGGTGGTGGTGGTGGTGGTGATGTTGATGATCATCATCATCATCATCAACATCAACATCACCACCATCACCACCACCACCACCATCACCATTTGCTAAATATTGACATTGATGATGATCATCATCATCATCATCATCAATGTCAGTATTTAGCAAATAATTAGTTCTTTGGCTAAAATGTGGTTTTGAAACCACTCAGTGTTTTTGTAATTTTATTTATTTTATTTATTTATTTATTCAATTTATATGGCACCCACACTACCCAGAGATCTATGTCTGGTATTTTTTTAGTAATAAGAATAAGAACAACGCAACAACTCTGGAACTTCAAAGCTGGAAGGGACCCTATGGATCAATGAGTGCAGCCTCTGTCAAGGAGGCCCAGTGGAGAATCGAACTCTCAACCTCTGGCCAGAGACCTAAGCCATTGACCTATCCAGCAGTTGCAGATGGGAGGGAGTGTTTTCATGTGCTTTGTTTACTGGTGCCTTAGTGCTAAGTACAAGAAGTGCCATAGCGCTTAACTACTTAGAATTATAGAACCATAAAATAATTGGGTTGGAAGGAGCCTGTAAGGCCACTGAGTCCCTACATTGAGTCATGGGTTCCATTGTCGTACTGCTCTAACAGTTAAGAAGTTTTTTTTTCTGATCTTCAGCCTAAATCTGGCTTCCTGTAACTTGAGCCCATTATTATGTGTCCTGCGCTCAGAGATGATTGCAAACAGATCCTGCCCCTCCTCTGGATGACAATCTTTGAAGTATTTGAAGAGGACTATCCTATCTCCCCTTAAGTCTTCTTTTCTCAGGGCTAAACATGCCCAGTTCTTTCAGTCTTTCCTCCTAGGGTTTGTCCTCCAGTCCCCTGATCCTCCTTGTTGCCCTCCTCACTCCAGTTCATCGGCATCCTTCTTAAAGCACCGTGTCCAGAACAAAACAAAAAATATTAAACCCAGGGTTTAGTGAGAGAACCCACGAAGAAAAAGCAAATGAAGGAACTCGTGTAGCAACAAAGTGGGATAATAGGAACAACATCTGCAGGATTTCTGTTAAGATCACTGCAAAGCCTAGTTACCTAAAAGGAACCAGATGCTCTGTATTGGATGAGTTACACTGCCTCTGATAACCTTCGCCGTGCAAAATGAATGGCTGGGAAGAATCATCTCCTTGAGATGCAAGTCAGGTGAACCAGGGAGCACTTTATCTAGGTCATCTTTCTGCAGGAATCTCCCACCCCCTTCTTTTTGACAGCACACTGACATTTGCAAAAGACACAGGTAAAGCTTCCAAATGCACTCTGCCTCTTAATGCGGACGTTCCGCGGCCAACATTAAGAATTCATCACGCTTCCTCCTGAATAAGCAGCGAGCGTGTTGAAGGATCACCGACGCTAGCCGTGAAGCTTCCACCACTGTGGATTTCTCTACAGTTAGTTTTGTGTGTGTGTGTCTTTGTGTGCTGGAGCAAGAGTAGATTAGAACAGTGAAACCCCGCAATCTGCTTTGTTCTGGCCTCCTTTGGAAAAAAAAAAAGACCATTTACAGAAGATGTCTGGATCACACCATCTTCAACATTTTGATATACGCAAGCAATCTGCTCATTCTTTCTGGGGAGATTCGTGGGAAGAATACGGCCATCTCTTTTTACTCCTCCCAGCAGACTGTAGGATAAGTTATCAAAGTAATTAAAATGCATACACAGACATTCAGGAATAACTGATCTCAGAATTTGGACAAATTATTTATTGGGATCCCAGCTCCCAAAATCACCTTTGGCTCGGAGCCGCAGCGCAGAGGAAATGAAGAACTTTTCTAATTGATGTTCCAAACATTTGTCTGTTCCTTCCACTTACCTGAAAGTAAGAAATATTTGAGAAACGAGCATGCAACTGCTTATTGTTTTATAATTTTCATTTTGCTATATGTAAATGTTATTCTTTATTTTGTCTGGAAGCCACCTAGAGTGGTCACAATGACCAGATAGGTGGGGTATAAATAAAATAAAATAAATAAGTTACACATGGAAAGTAATATAAGGCGGAGAATAAAGTTACTTCTTTGGTATATTGAATCTTATTTACAAATTATTCTCAGAAGCCCATTTTAAGGGCCTTCTGAAGCATTTAAATGCATTTATTCAGGAATGTTGTCATGTTTTATGCAATCTTGAATTTCTCTCTCTGAGTATTTAAGAACTCCCACAAATGGATGGTGCTGTGTAGCCCCATACTAAGCCATAAGACCTGTATGTTTACTCATGCAAAACAATTGATTTTTCATTAAAATCTGATAACACACATATGCCGTTTTAAGTCCAGACATGGGTGGGGTTGGCTTGTCACCAAAAAGTCACAGGATGGGTCAAACACTATTTTGTGCACCATTTACTCAAAAATAAACTAGGTCTGGAGTAAATGCGCATCCTTAAATCAGTCCTACGTGCTAATGGATGAAATAGCCAATTACCCCTGTGAAAGAAACAGCAGTAATGGTCACACATATGCCGTTTTAAGTCCAGACATGGGTGGGGTTGGCTTGTCACCAAAAAGTCACAGGATGGGTCAAACACTATTTTGTGCACCATTTACTCAAAAATAAACTAGGTCTGGAGTAAATGCGCATCCTTAAATCAGTCCTACGTGCTAATGGATGAAATAGCCAATTACCCCTGTGAAAGAAACAGCAGTAATGGTAACAACAACTCTCTCTCTCTCTCTCTCTCTCTCTCTATCTCTATCTCTCTCTCTCCCTGGGCACCATTCAGTTGCTGATTCTGGCTTCCATCATGGCCTGTCACCTGTCTCTCACTGTGTGAATTAATTGTTCTTTATTAAGGCCTGGCCAATCTCTGCAATCTATCTATTTCTTCCACATTTACCCTTGACCTTTCTTTCAGTGGCCTATTGTAGTAGGTTATGTTTGCCATGACGACATGTGTCCAAGATCTTGCATTCCTTAATCATCAACCCTCTTTCTTCTTGTTTTCTTATCAGATTAAGGACCTCTTCTTTCTTTGTAACATCAGTCTGTGGAATGTGAAAGGTTCTTGTGTTTATCCATTTTTTTTCCCCTTTAGGGCATCTTCAGATTAATAGTCCACACCACAAAGCCATGTACGAAGGTTGACTGCATGTAATGCTTTAACATCTTCCGTCTCAAAGCTATATTAAGCAGTTCGTTAAACAACATTTTCTTCAATTTGAAAATAATTGCTCGAGCTGTCTCAATGTTTTGCTTTATTTCTATGTTGCTGTCCATATGGTTGTTAAATGAACATCCCATATCCACATATTGGTCTGCTTTGTCTGCATGTGAGTTGGTACAGATAATATGATTCCTACTTATCACCGTTGTTATGGGGGGGGTTAGCATTGATTGACAATGCCATGTTGTCACTTTCTTCTGTGACCTGATCTAACATGCTTTGAAGGTCATCTGAGCTTCCAGCTATCAGGACTGTGTCACATAAATATCTTATCACATTGAGGACTCAGTAATGATCTGGACATCTCGAAGTAATGACTAGTGCAACACCTTAAAAATGGTGAGCTTCCAGCTATCAGGACTGTGTCACATGAGTATCTTATCACATCGAGGACTCAGTAATGATCTGGGCATATCAAAGTAATGACTAGTAAAACACCTTCCCTTTTAAAAATGGCCCAAGCTTTGGGTGAACCATACTAGAGGATATGTATGGAATGAGAAATGATTCAGTCAAGGGGGCATCTTAGAAGTTTCCAATGACCCCCGTTTCGATACTAGAGGATATGTATGGAATGAGAAATTGTGATTCAGTCTAGGGGGCACCTTAGAGGTTTCCAATTGGCCCTGTTTCAAATTCTAGTGGACCCTCATCATGGCTGCCCATGAATCATCCAACTGCCATTACGTGGAGCATGTAGGGAGATGTAGCCAGCAGAGAAGGAGCAAGAGGAAGAGTTCATACAAACAGGGGGACCACTCAGAGCAGAAGAACTGTGAGATGATGATGGGATGGAGGCATTCATCCCAGAGTGTAGGACACACAACAATGGGCTCAAGTGACAGGAAGCCAGATTTCGGCTGAATATCAGGAAAAACGTCCTAACTGTTAGAGCAGTATGACAATGGAACCAATGACCTCGAAAGGTGGTGAGTGCTCCAACGCTAGAGGCATTCAAGAGGAATTTAGACCACCACCCGATAGATATCCTTTGATTTGTATTTCTGCATTGATCAGGGGGGTTGGATTCGATGGCCTTACGGGCTTCATGATTCTATGATGCCAATTTTGTCAGTTTTTGGAGCCATCTTGTTCCTTTCCAACACTGATTATTCTTTCCGTATCATTTCTCTCCCCATCCCTGCAGGGTGGAAAGATACCGATTCGTTGGACAGCACCCGAAGCCATCCAGTACCGGAAATTCACGTCGGCCAGCGATGTCTGGAGCTACGGCATAGTCATGTGGGAGGTGATGTCCTATGGGGAGCGGCCTTACTGGGACATGACCAATCAAGATGTAAGTGATATTTTGGTTGGTGGTTTGCAAGGTCTTCACGGTAGAGAATACTCAGAAATGGTTGACCATTCCCTTCTTCTGGGGGTGTCGTGGGACTGTGCAGCTTGCCCAGGGGGTGTCCTGGGACTGCGCAGCTTGCCCGAAGGCTAAACAGGCTGGTTCTGCTCACAGGAAGCACCATGGGGAATCAAACTCCCAACCTGAGTGGGCTCCTGCACCAAAAACCTGTTCGGTTGAAAAATGAACCAGCATAAACCACCGAACCAGGGGTTCATGCCCGTCTGTACTCAAGAGCCCGACCCCTTTGACCCGGCTGTCTTAAGATCCAGAAGTCCTCTCAGATGCCTCCAAGCAAAGAACAGAGTATTCTTATTTCCATTAGAGATTGTTCTATTAAGTTGCCTTGCCCACAGCCCTAACTGCCTTTGTTTGTGATAGCCAGTAACAAATTTACACGAATTTCTTCAGTATGAATAACGGTCCATACGAGAATTGGAGAACCTTCCTTGTTGTTTCTGTTGAAGACTACGTTCCCTGAGGAGCAAACTTTTAGGGGCTGCAGGATAGTGTGAAGGACCACATGTCACTCTTCTTCTTTGTCTCTCTCTTGCTCTTTTTTTTTTTTGCTGCTTCCTTGTCTTTCATCCTCGCTTCCTGACACTCCCACTTCTCATCTCCTCTGCTTCCTCCATGCCTGGCCGACTGCTGTGGAAACGACAACCCGCTCTTGCCAGTGGTCTAAAACTGCTAACTTGCCTGTAGTTTTCCAGATCAGGTCAACACATGGCCCAACCCTGGCGTAGCTCCAGTTTTCACATTTTCAGCACCTCTGAAAGATGACCCATTTCCTCAAATGATCCCATAGCTTACAGCAGTCGAGTTCCCTACCTTGGGGTCCCCAGAGGTTCTTGGACTATAACTCCCAGAAATCCTGGCCAGCACAGCTCATGGTGAAGGTTTCTGGGAGTTTTAGTCCAAGAACCTCTGGGGACCCAAGGTTGGGTATCATTGGTGTAGTGAGGAGAGTGTCGTGGTGACTAAGGATGTGATTCCTCACCTTGGTTCCCTATCTCTAATCTAAGCACAATAAATAAATGGCAATCATTCAAGGAGAATTGGCAGTTCTCCTTTTTTGGGGGGGACGCATGGCCTGCATCAAATTGGTGGCTCCAACGTAAGTCAGCCCATTGACTCAAAGGCTGAATGTTGAGTCGACACTTGAGTAAATCCCAC